CCGTCTTGTGATTAAATTTGACCTAGAGAGTTTGTAGGATTTTGTGAGGTAGTGAGAAGAGGAATAAAGAATGGCAAAGGGCATTGAGCCTTAGGCATTGAGAAGCCATAGGAAAGGCTGAGCAAGTCCGGAGTGGATGCTGGGATCCAAGTGGATAAACTCTGGAATGACTAGAGAGGAGCCCTGTGCAGCCAAGGACATCCACAATTCCCCTTGCAGACCTGGCCAGGCACCAGAAGTGTGCAGAGCTGACAGAACAGGCATCTGCAGGGCCAAATGGCCAATGAGTGAGAGGAAGAGGGCAGCCAATGAGCGAGAGGAAGAGGGCAGCCAATGAGCAAGAGGAAGAGGGCATGCCAAGGTGGCTACCAGCGTGTGGTCTGCTGGAGCCCGGGTCATTGGCTCCATGAAGCGCAGAAGGGTTGAGGAATCTGGAGCATGCCTGATTTGGGGTGCTGGGAGTATGCCTGGTTTGGGGTGCTGGGAAGCTGTGCTGGCTGTGGGGGGGATGGGTCTGAGTGTCACAGGCCATTTTTTTTTAAGTTAAATACAACTGCAGTCTTTGAGAGAAAGACGAAGGAACTCAGCGATGGACGTCAGCATGCCCCAGGAAGAGAGGGCCCTAGAAAGTACCAGTTAGCTTGTTGGGGGGTCAGTGCAATGGCACGCTGGGACAGGACCTGGCAGGGCCTGGGTGATGCCAAAGGGCATCTTCTGGAAAAGGGAACGAGAATGCAGTGGGGTCAGATCTGGCCTACAAAAGTGACTCTCGGGAGGCGATCTGCTTGGTGCTGAGCTGTTAGCTGCACTCTCAGTAGATTCTTGCAGGCTTGCTTTGTTGCTGGTGTGATCTCAAGGGACACTTTCAGATTGGGTAATCTTCCTTTTTGGCGACAGCCCCAGACGGGTACATTGTGGAATTTGCAAGTCATTGACAGATGCTGCAGAAGTTAAATATTCTTCAAGCCCAAGCCTGGCCCGCCCAGCCCAGGTGTTCCCTCCCCAGCTCTGTTTTCCACTAAGCCACTGTGCCGATGTGGGGTGCATCCCTGGCCTCTCTGCACCTTGCCTGTCCCTTCTAGAGGCTTGTGCTGAACACTCCCAGACAAGTTCCATGTAGGGCAAGTACGGACCTTCTGTGAGCCTTTAGCTTCAGTCATCGCATTCTCTGGCAGGAGGCAGAGCATACAGATTTTTTTTTGCGGAACCAGGGATTGAACTCAGTCCCTTGCGCTTTCCAGGGAAGTGCTTATTCTACTGAGCCATTTCCCCGGCCCCAGATTTTGAATTAAACTTTAAAATAAGCTGATAGTTGTCATCCTTCTGGACTATTGAGTTTAATTTTAAACAAGCAAATCCAGAGAGTCCTTTATTAAAGAAGGGAAGTGTGTGTGTGTGTGTGTGTGTGTGTGTGTGTGTGTGTGTCTATTTTAATGTTTCAAATGGTTTCTTTCTGGGCTAAGTTTCTGGGGAAAGGAAGTCCTGGCACTTGTGGTTAGGGAAGAGATTCCACAGCAGTGAGGTCGGCAGGAGATTGCACGTGTGTGCACGTGCCTTCCCACCCAGAGGTTTCCAGAACCCAGAAGAGCTGCTTGCCTCACAGGAGTGCAGAGTGCATTTGCAGAGGCTTACCCTGCCACCCCCCCCCCCGCCTGGAAACCCAGAGCGGTGGGGTTGCGGCCCTCCTCACGTACACAGGCCACAGGCCACAGGCCACCTGACTCATAGCCCTGCTAGGTGGGGCCCTGCACTCCCACTGTGCAATCATCACAGTACCCAGCAGGCCTGAAAGGGACCACCCAGAAGTGTCACACCTAAAGCCTGTGTGTGTAGTTTCTACACCCTGTGTGGAAACTGCAAGACATGGACATGCAGTACCAGCCCTATATGAAGACCAGCGGTCACTATGAGCCTGAAACTTGGGCTTAAGGTCAGAAGTTGATTTTCTTCCCTGTTTACCTGCTTGTTGGCTGTGCAAACTTGGGCAAGCTGCAAAAGCTCCTCAAGTTTTCACTTAAAGGCAGATATCTCATTAGCCCACTCACAACAGATGTCACGGGAAAAGGGATGGATGCAAAGTTCTTTGCACAGAGCCTGGAGCAGGGCTGGCACTCCACAAGCACCGGCCATTGAGGTCACTATTCAAAGAAGACAGGGCACTGCGGATGGGATGAAGGGTAGAAGCCTGGCAAAGCCCACAGTGGACAGAGTCTACATTTTGTTGAGTGAATGGATGGATGCATGCATGCATAGATGGATGCATGGATGCATGGATGGATGCATGCATGGATGCATGCATTCATAGATGGATGCGTGGATGGATGGATGCATGGATGGATGCGTGCATGCATGACGGATGGATGAGACAGACTCAAGCCTCTCAGAATGGGAAGGATTTGGTCCCATGGAGTAAGAAGTGCAGACATTCTGCATTGGAGGAATAAGCCTGGAGCCCAGCCTGTCTGCCTTCCTAAGGTGTTGGAGGGGACATATCTCTTTCCCTTTTTCCTCACACACAGCTGCACAGACACACACTCCATCTATGCAGAAATCCCCTGTGCCATCACTGCACACCGCCAATCACACACAGATGGGCACACAGAGACTCACATGACTCTCTGCCCCACACATGCCACTTGCCACGTGATCATGTGTTCAGATACACACACATGCAGATGCTGGCTCCCAGGCACACATGTAGATTCAGACACACAGACATAGATACACAGAGACATGTGCATGTGCAGGTATACACACACACACACACACACACACACACGGTGCTGTGATGTAGCATTGAGGACAGTGACAGTGGAGCCTTGCCCTTTCCCTTGTGCATGCTAATTGCCTGCAACCTGGAGCCTGCTCTACAGAAGGGACCCACCCTACGTCGGGGCAGGAGCAGGGCCAGGTTCCTGAGAGCACGTGCTGGCCTCCAGCCCTGCAGTTGGCATGGCCCTTCCTAAGGGTTCAGCTCAGCCCCCTGGCTGGGCCTGCCAGTGGCATGCCGGCGCTCACGTCTCCAGTCATTAAGCCTGGCTGCTGCCCGCATCTGGGAGAGGATATGAATGGAATGAGGTCAGCCTCGACTTTCTCCTGGGCATGACGCATTCCACACTGCAATGTGTGGAATGCCTGTGGCCTCCCAAGGTGGGCAGAGACAGCAGGGGGCTGGCCTGTGGGTGGGATCAAACCACAGGCCCCTTCTTGGCTTGTGCTTGTCCACGTGTCTCAGTAGCACGGGTCTCGTGGCCTGAAGGATGGCTGTATAGGATCCATGATCCAGGCTGGAAAACATAAGCCTGCTCCTGGCTGCTTTCCTCCGCTCTGCGTGGAAGGCAAGCAGGGCCAGATGCCATCACTCTGGGCTGCATATTTTCCACCACCTTGCAGGACTGGTGGGGCTGGACCTGGCTGGAACCCGGAAGCCTGCAGGAAGAGACATGAGTCCTCGGGCACTTGGATAATGGTTCTGTTCAACCCCATGCTTCATTTGCATCCTGACTGGACAGGCTGGGGCTTCGGGTCATTGAGTTCCTGCTTTCCAGCCTGGCTGTCACCAGTTCCACCTCTCACTCCCTCCCAGCATAAGGAATTCCCTAGAGTGGCCCAGGAAGGAAATTTGAGTCAACTGATGTTTTCATTTGTCAAATGGGGATGCAGTGTTATCAACCACCTGGTTATCCAGCTTGAGGGTTAAGGAAAAGGATACATGGAAAGGGATGGCTTAGGAGCTGGCCCTGATAAGTACTCCCAGGGGCTGTTACTGTGACAAAGTGCAATTCATGGTTTCTGAGGGTTGATTTGGAGCTGGGGATGTTGAAGGGTTTGGAGGAATTGGTAGGATCAGTGATGCAGGACGTGGGCATCACACTCTGTCATTTGTGTATTACGTAGACCAGGAGGAGCCTTTGGCAGATGAGGTAAGAGGAGTGTGTTGGAAAGACCTCTCTGGTGGCTGTCAGATGGATGCAGGTAGGGACTCAGCCATGCTCTGTGGCAAGAGCAGGAAAGGGCTCCACTGAGGCCAGGGCAAAAATGGGAGGATGAGAGAGATTTCCGAGGGCGCTTCCTTTTTACTGGGGGACTGGGGGTCATTCCTCAGAGAGGTATAAACAGTGACAGCATAGCTCTGGGCATCCCCACCTCCATTCCTCTCATTCACTGCAGCTCCTGGAGGCCCTGCCAGAGCCCTGGGACTCTGGTATAGGCGTGACACAGAGATTTGAGACTTTCCAGCTCAGTGTGTAGGGAGGCGCTCCTACGAGGCAGGAAGGCCTTCCGCCAGCCCCTGCCCCCCTTCAGGCTCCTTCACTCCTCTGAAAGTGTTGTACCTTGCCACAACCAAATAGCTGTCCTCAACCCCTCCGACCTCCATCCCCAGGTTGGGACCAGCACATGACAAGCTTGGCCCTGAGGGTGCCCTATCCCCCGCACCCTCTCTAAGGCTCTGGGTACCTGAACAGAGGCATGCTGCCCTAAAAATGAGGGGGCATGTGAGGTGCACACCAGCATGGGAGGCTTGGGTTCAGTGGCCAGGAACACCACTTTTAGAGGAATGACTGGTGTCACAGACTGAGCACACACACACACATTTGAGTCAAATGCAAAATCCAAAGTATTTAATACTGAAAATTCAAAAACAGCACTTGCTCCCATGCTCTGCTTTCTGAAGCCTATGAGAGAAAAGGCTGCTCACAGCTCTCTGGCTTCTTTGGCAGTGTGCACAGAGGCTTCCAGGGTGCCCCAGGGCTTTAGCTGCCATTAGGTCACACACATCCCCTCCCACCGTGGTCCCTGCAGCCCTGCCACTGTCCACTAAGCGCCTTGTAACTATGCCCTGAGCCTTGTGCATACCGGGAGTGCCCACAGCCTCTTGCACAGAGGCCGATCAGCAGTGCGCCAGCCTGCGGTCACCAAGGGAGAACCTGTGCCTGATAGCCCCTCCAAGGCCAGACCAGAGACATAACTCCTCTCTTCCTGTGCCTGTTTCTTCCCAGAACCTGAATATCCAGGTGGAGGACATCAGGATCCGCCCCGTGCTGTCGGCCTTCCGACATCGCACCCCGGTGACCGAGGGCTACGTGGAGGTGAAGGTGGGCAGGTCCTGGAAGCAGATCTGCGACAAGCACTGGACAGCCAAGAATTCCCATGTGGTCTGTGGCATGTTCGGCTTCCCTGGGGAGAAGACATACAACACCAAGGCTTACAAGTAAGAAAGCTGTGCCGAGCAGGGGCTCTCCGGGCTCGTGCCCTCCCTGCCTTATCCTGGCAATGGCTTTCTGTGGTCTGGTGTCCCTCCATCAAGAGAAAGGAGGGGCCTGGGAGATAGTTGGGGCCAGGAAGATAGCTCAGTAGAATAAGTGCTTGCCTGGCAAGTGCAAGGGCCTGAGTTCAATCCCCAGTTAAAAAAAAAAAAAAAAAAAAAAGAGGAACGCTCCCTCCATGGGAGAAGGCCCTCCACATCTGGGCCAGTGTAGCATGAGGGTAGCTTGGAGCTCAGTCAGGTGCAAGGTGCTCCGGCTTGAGCAGATCACACCTTTCAGTGCTGCTTGGGGTGACCACATGGGCCAAACAAGAGCGAACTGTGGACTGGAGGGGACAGGCCAGCACTGACTTCAGAAGAAATACGTGCTTGTCCTCAGCAGTGATTATCTGAGCAATCTGGACCTTGTGGAGATTGCTGGGTAGTGGAGAAACTGGTAGGTTCAGTTCCTTTCATCTAAACCTGAACGCGTTGCTCCACCGCCCAAGGTTCAAACCTCCCGGGGGAAGAAGGTAGCGATCGGACTTCCTTATGTGACCTGGGGGTGTCTGGGCTTTAAATGATCTCATGATCAGGCACAGAACCCTATACAAGGTGGGCACTATGTGAGCAGTGGCCATGCCGGTGGTGTTTGGGGGACACTGACAAGGAAAGTCCGCACCTGTTCAGTACAGACAGGCTTTTCTGTGTCCTGTCTGAGGTTGGCTGAGCCCGCAGATGCAAAATCCGGGCTATGGAAAGCTGGTCGGTGGTGGGGTTTCCTGTTTCCTCTACAGAGTTACACCAGTGCCTGCTTCTACTGAGTGCTTGCCGTGTGCCAGGCACTGTCCCTGTCACTTAGTAATAGCAACACCAAAAGGAACTAGAGGTCTGTTCTGGAGATGAAGAGTGAGTGTGGGTGGCACCCTGGGGTGACCACCATGCTGACCGTGAGCCAGGAGACAGGCCCTGACTTCAATGGCCCCAGCAGTCCTCACCAGTTGGCCAGCGCCTGCCCTAGTAATGGCCTCAGATTTTTCTACCCATGGGAGTCAAGAAAAGCAAACCATCCCCTAATAGGCCTCCCTCTGTGCAGGGCCCCCAGATCCCCCAGGCTACTGATAGGAGCAGGCGTGGCTTGTTTGTAGATTGAAAGTCATTTCTAACCAAAGCCCACAGAGTCCTTCTCCTGCTTGCCAGGAGGCTTGCTTGGGCCAGTTTCAACAGCTGGGCCCTGGGACATCCTCTCATGAGCTAGGTTTGAACCCCTCCCTGTCTGTGGTTTTTGCCTTTGGAGAAGAAAAGGGCCTTGAAGGACAGGAGGGATACAAGGTGGCAGAGGCAGGAGTGTCCGCACTATGGTGGGAGATGGGTGGCATGAGCCTCGTGGGAACCCCCTCCTCCAAGCACAGACCCCAGGCTTGTCTCTGTCAGTTTAGTTGGTCTCTGGGATGACATCTGCCCCAGCAAGAAAGGAAGGTTTCTGGTCCTCAGTGGTGCCCTGAGGGCTACCGGAGTGCCTGGGTTGGCACAGCCTGGAGGAGCTGCTGGCGCTGTAGGACTCCTAGGGTGCGGCAAGGCCACAGACATCTTCAGCTACTTCTCACTTTGCAGAGGGGAGGGAGGCTTGAGGGATAGGAGCTCAGCTCCCTGCCAGCTCTGCAGAGCCCCAAGACAGCTGATGGCTGCTCTAGGACAACTCTGGTCCTTCCTGGGAGCCAGCCAGGCTGGGACAGAGCTCACCTGAGGACAGATCAGAAGTTGAGCTCTAAAGCAAAGCCTAAGGGCTGTCGTGATCCTACAGTCTCTCCCATCTCTGTCACTCTTCCTTTAGCTGGGTGAGGCCGGAAAACTGGCTGAGGACTGGAGGAGGTTGTTATACAGCCGTTCTCAGCCTGTAATAATCTCCCTCCATCCCTCCAGGCCCCTAGTAGACCTCATAGCCCTGGAGATTTTTCTGGTCACCCCTGGGACTCTCCATCCTGGGGGTCCCCCTGTCCTAAAGCCATCTCCCTCAGACCACCTGGCAGCCTGCTTGCCACTCCTAGGCCCCAGTTTCCTCGTGGCCTCAGGGCCTGCCCTCCCCTCAACATCTGCAGGTATTCAGAGCACTACATTTACAGCACCCCTGCCCCTAAGAATGGAGACAGCCCCCACACCAAGGGTCGTTCCTTTTTCTCCTGGTTTCTGTGCCACACTGGGGAGCCTTGGACCTGGTCCCCAGGGCCAGCAGCACTTCGTAGTCTTCACCATCACGTTCTTCTTAAAGCAGGACCTGAGTATTGATTCTGGTTTATTGACGTGGCTCCCTGAGTAGCCAGCCTGCATGTGACATCACAGCTCAAGAGTTAGCAAAGGATCTGATGATTTGGCAGGTGGCTGATCAGAGGGCTAAAGCTCTAGGCAGCCCATGGACAGTGAGCTGGAAAGGCTGGGCCTGGTCTGGCATGAAGGAAGGGATGCAGAGGGAGCTGAGAGTGTGCAGGCATTCAAAACCTACACTCAGCCCTAGTGGCGGTCTAGAAGGCATGCCTGTCACCATGTTGACTGTGAGGAGTTCCCGCATTCTCAGTACTGTCATGCCTCTTCCCAGGAGGCCAGGGCAAGGCCACCACTGAACAGGAACCTAAATGCAAAGGGAGTGATCTGGGGCTGGCAGGGCCAAGTGGTCCCAAACAGCCACAAACAGCAAAGGGCATGGTTCCCATAAGGGACAACAGAGACCAGCAGCCCTGAAAGTAGTGACTCCAGAGACCTTGTCCAGACCAGTCGCCTGCTCTTTGAAGTGAGCCAGGAAGCCTGCTGAATCTTCCTTGAGCTATACACACAAACTCCAGACAACTGAACAGTCACGACTCCTCAATCTATGCCCAGATTTTTCCATCTTAGAGACTCAGACCCTATAATGAGAAGGTGGGTCCCCTTGAGGGAGGACCTTGGTAACCTGCAGAAACGCATGCCACTGCTCCTTCTCCTGGCCTGTTCTTCACTGGGGCAACCATGCACTGGGGAAAAGGATGGAGTCAGACTTTTCAGGGACTGCCGTCACAGGTCCTGAGCCTACACTTACTCCAGGAGACCCCAGGAGGCCTGCTAGTCAGAGGATTGTGGAGCCCTAGCTCAAGTCTGCCCACCATGGGTCAGTGGATCCCTACCCTATCCTGTGGTGATTTCCCCAGTTCTGGAAAGCATCACTGGAAGAGACATACTCAGTAGCTGGCTGGATCTCACAAAGTCTGGCACCCACTTGGCTGAGGAAAGCCACTAGAACTTTCCATGTTATGTGGAAACAGTCCAGCCCAGTGTTTCTGCCACCACCCAGCCGTGGCCCCCCACGACCTCTTTTGCAAGTGGGTTTCCAGCGTGGTGGGAGGCTGCTCCCAGCTCCGGTCATCTACCATCTCTCCCTTCTCTCTCAGCATCCCTGAAGCGGAGAATCACACCAGTTTGGGAGAGGGGGGTCTGACTGGGGGAGGCCAGAAGCCGAGGATCAGGTGGGTGGCACATTCCTCAGAGCTGATGTAAGAGGGAAAGAGCTGCCTGGGAGAGGCAGGAGAGGGTCTGGGGCAGCTCAGCTTGCTGGTCTCTTCGAGGAGCTCAGTACATCTGTTCCTGGAGAGGGTGGTGTTCCCTGACATCTGGAAGCAAAAGCAATTTCCTGAGCCAAGGCCGGCCAATGTGATCTGACCAGTCCTCATGCAGTTGGTGTTTCCTGAGTGTGTTCTCCCCACCAGCCGAGGTGGGGGTCAGGGGAATGAACAAGCTGTGGGTTTCCTGGCACAGGGCCTTGCAGGAAGTGGGAGGGGCAAGCAGTGGTTCTTGGGATTATTACTAGTCTTTTGCGGAATCGCTGCTCCATGATGTCACTGTAGTGAGCACACATCCTGAAGTTTCCAAGATAATCCTTATTTCAGTGATTCGAGGTTGTTGTACCCACAGACAGACAAAAGTTGTCTCAAGTCTCAAACTTTGGCTAAGGAGAGACAGCGATGGCACCCGGAGGATTTTCCCTTCTTCGTGTATGCAGCTCCTGCACAAAGCCAATATTTCCAAGGCAGCTGGACCAGCAGCCACGGGACCCCCTCCTGGTTCATCCGGGATCAGCCTGCCCAGAGAGCCACCTGCATGGGCGGCTGGCAAGTGCTTGGTTTTCTCTGCCATTTGATGAGTCCTCCTGGGCAGGAATGAGTGCATGGGCCCCAGAGAGCTGGCCGGCATTCCCAGCCCCCTGTGTCCACCTTCCTTCTGCTCTTCAAAGCTGTCGGCCAAGGCCAAAAGCCCACTCACTCTTGCAGGAGTCGTCTTTCTCGCTCTAGCCACTAGCAGCCCTCCTTCTTGCCTTCCTTTTCTTCTTTGCTTTTCACCACAACAGTTGTCAATTATTCTTTTTAAGAACATCTTTTCTGGGTGTTCTTTTAAGTGCTTGATAGGTGTTAGCTCATTTAACTATCACAGTGCTGCTTTGTTGTCTTTGTAACAGCTTTCAAAAGTGGGTCCTTTAAGAGTTGATGGGGCCTGGGGAGATGGCTCAGTGCTGTAAGTACCTGCCTGGCATGCGCAAGGACCCAGGTTCGAGCCCTGGTACCATATGCTGTGCCCTGAAAATGCATCTGAGCTGCTTAACAAGACCCTGTACCAAATAAATAAAAATTTATTTTTTAAAAAAATACTTGATCAGGCTGTGAGGACTCTGTCCTTCTGAGTGGATTGACGCCACTATCGTGAGACTGGGTTGGCTATCATTCCCTCTCTGTGTGTGCTTGTTTGACCTTCTGGCGTAGGGTGACACAAGACCCTCCCCGGAAGCTTGATCCACACTTTCAGGCTTTCCAGCCTTCTGAACTATAAGCCAAATAAGTTCTATTGTGTAGAAGATCTCATCTGTGATGCTCCGTGATAGCTGCAGAATGTGGGCTAATACACAGGGCAGTCGTGGAACTTATGTATTTATACTGCTCCTTTGGACATGAGGAAATTGAGTAATTGTAACCTTTCTGCTAACCGATGCATTATTTATTGGTTGGAGAAAAGAAACTTTGCCTTATCTCAATCCATATCCTGCCTTCAGAAAAAAATCATAATAAGGAACAGTTTGTGTGTGTAGGAAATATAGGCTAAGGGCTTCCTTGGAACAGGGCATTCAGACCTTAACTCACTGATTTTGCTCCGTGAAGATGTGATCAAAATCAGCTGCAGAATTTCATTATCATTGTACTTTCCAATGCAGAGCAATTTATTTGACTCAGCAGGTTGAGTCCTGTAAGCCAGTTCTCACTGGATTTACACATTTAATCTTGTCTATCATTGGGAGAGAGTTCAGTCAACTTGAACTGTTCATTGATTCGAGGCAAAAAAGTTGGGGAATAACAACAGGTTGTGGTGAAATTATTGAAGAGTGAGAGGGGCCAACCCTGAGCCCACGAGATAGCTCAGTGGTGTAAGGGGTCTGCTTAGGCAAGCTCAGGGACCGGGGTTCGATTCTGTGCCAGCCCCGCTCCCAGGGCTGGCTGAGCCAGGTAGAGTCCAGGTGTGGTGGCGCACACCTGTAATGCCAGTGCTGGGGAGGCTGAAAGCAGGAGGATCACCACGAGTCTGAGCTGCGTAGTGAGACCCTGCAACAACCAAATACATTAAAAAGAAAAAGAAAGAGAAGAGTGGCCAACCTTTCAGGAAGCATTTCTAGAACCAGAGACCTTATCTGTTTTAGATATCTCTTTTGCTTTTGTGTTTACAGGTTTCATTATTATTTCATCACATAAGGCAGGAGGCCATGTGCACCCCTGGGGTCTCACTGCCCAGTGTCCAGCATGAATCAGTGCTCTGGGGTACTGGCAACATATGGTGGGCAGACCCCATCTGGGCATCAGAGCTGAGCTTCCAGAGCAGAACAGTGCCCAAAGGGATCCAGTAGGCACCGGGGTGCCCTGGTCACCTGCCTCTTCATGCCCTCTGCAGAATGCTGGCCACACGGAGGAAGAAACGCTACTGGCCATACTCCATGAACTGCACAGGTACAGAGGCCCACATCTCCAGCTGCAATCTGGGTCCCCAAGTGTCACAGGACCCCGTGAAGAACATCACCTGTGAGAACGGCCTGCCAGTGGTGGTCAGCTGTGTGCCTGGCCAGGTCTTCAGCGCCGATGGGCCCTCAAGATTTCGGAAAGCCTACAAACCTGAGGTGAGGGCAGGGTGGGAGGCACAGCCACTGTCAACAGCTGGGGGTGAGGGGTAGCAAGAGCAGGAGGGACCCCAAGAGAGGGGAGGAAACCAGAGTCCCTTCAGGAGAGCAAAGCACTGGGCCAGAAGGACACTTTGTTGCTGGCTACCACTGGCTTCCTGTGCTTGGTTCAGGTTGGCTGGACTCTTGCACAGGGCTGTTGGGACATGGGACAGCTCCCCACAGCACATGCCACCAGGGAAAATGTTTTCAAGTAGTTTTGGTGTATTTTGCAATAAGGAAGGATAGCAACTGAAGAAAGCTTTTGCCATGATAGGAAACCTATCACTAACCGTGTTCCAGTCATCCTTGTCAGTCACAGTGTGTTTACATGAACCAGAACCTTGAGGGGTGTGTGTGTGTATGTGTGTGTGAGAGAGAGAGACAGAGAGAGAGAGAGAAAGAGAAGAGCTGATAAGGAGGCAGGTGAGCGGGGTGGGGCACATGGGAGGAAGGAGAGCCCTGATGATCACTGTGACTCAGCAGGCCAGATACAAACCGTACTTAGCAGTCATCAACTGGGCCTGAGAGTTCCGCGTAAGAGGGGTACTCAGCAAGGAAAAGAGGGAGCCACGGAGAAAGAGAGGGACGGGGGGAGAGGGTAGTGCTGCTGGGGACAGGCTGTGGGGGGAGAAGCGTCTCCTCTCCCTGGGGACAGGCTGTGGGGGGAGAAGCGTCTCCTCTCCCTGGGGACAGGCTGTGGGGGGAGAAGCGTCTCCTCTCCCTGGGCTCCTCCCGCCTCCTCCGCTTCCTATCCCATCCATCCCCAGTCAGCAGCGGCAGAGCTGCTCTTGGAAAGTGTAGAGCAATTCTTCTCATGGAGAAAGGAAATCAGGGCAAAAGCGATAAACCACATGGGGCGCCTCTCCCAGGCTGGGCAGGTTTTGGACCCAAGCCTACCTTGAAAGGGGAGCCCTGCCTGGGGCTGCATGCGGGGATGACTTGGGATGGCTTCCTGGCAGCCCCAGATCCTACTGTTTTGGAATTTCTCTGCTGTGCGGTTTAGAGCAAAGGAATCACATTCATCCCGAAGCAAGGGAAGGACAGCGGGAGGCTTACATCACATTTTCCTTGGTTTCTGCCTGCCCTCCCTCCCACCCGAGCCTGCTGACTCTGCCTGGCCACTGCTGGGCTGGGGGAGGTTTTTCCATACTTGGCCTGCTGAGCTGGGGTCAGGGTCACGTGCTCTTGGGAAGGCCCAGAGTCCAGCTGGACATCTTGGGAAGGGAGGGGAGGGAAGCAGAAGGTCACGGTTCTGCCGAACATGGGCTTGATCCAGCAGTTTTCTGCAGTGAAGCCACAGAGTTTTCCGCCCTCCCTCCTGCTCCCCTTTTTTCTGCCCCTAGTGTGAGAGTGAACGTAGCCCCAAGGTTCTGTCAATCTGGGTGCTCTCTCAGCACCCTACCCTACCAGGCTGGCCCTGCGGTGCCGGCACAGAGGAGAGGAAGTGGGGAGACAGCTTTGTGCCATGCGTTGCCCCTCAGGGTGCCAGTGGATGTGAGTGCCTGAAACAACCCCCTCCACCCAGGCCTGCCACATCCTGGTCATCCACAGTAGACTGAGGGAGGGACTACGAGCTGAGGACCGCACAGCCAGGGTATCCTCGTCCTGCCCCAGTCCGACCAGTGCCTGCAGTGGCTCAGGCTTCTCAGCCTCCAAACACACATGCACACATGCCACATGCATGCCAGTGAGCGCTTGCACATACACTCACACATACACACATATGCATTCCTGCACAGAACACGCGTGGGCTTCTATACTTAGCAGGACTATGTGTCTCTCCAGCAACCCCTGGTGCGGCTCAGAGGCGGTGCCCAAGTTGGTGAGGGCCGTGTGGAGGTACTCAAGAATGGAGAATGGGGGACCGTGTGTGATGACAATTGGGACCTGGTGTCAGCCAGCGTGGTCTGCAGAGAGCTGGGCTTCGGAACAGCCAAAGAGGCTGTCACCGGCTCCCGACTGGGGCAAGGTAAGGAGCAGGGCTGCTGCTGGGGGAGACCTCCTCCTAAGACAGTCTGGCCTCTGGCTGGTGGCCATGACCTCCTGTGGTTCTTGTGTGCCCTCCTTCTTGCAGCAACTGCCACTCCTTTAAGGAATCCCAGCTTCTCCCAGACATCAAGGCTGGAAGGGGCCCTAGGTGACGCCAAGTCCTTGTTTTATGGATTTGGAAGTTGAGGCCTGGAGAAGGGAGTAAGTGAGCAGGGTTAGAGGACAAACCAGCAGGCAGTGAATGCTCCGAGTGGGGTCCCCCGACTGCTAACCCTGCCCTCCCTGCTCCTCCACCAAGGAAGCTGGGATTGTCAGGCTCCCTCCTCCAGGAGAGGACCCCAGAAGCAGTCAGGCTGTAGGCCACGCTGGACACAAAAGAGCCAGATGTCACCTTCCTTTCCCACTCCACTGGTTGACCCACCCAGGGGTTTATGCTCTCCCTGGGCCTACAGGACTAGGTCCACTCACTGGGAGAAATCAACAAGTACTTGGTGACATGAATCCATTCATGGGTGTGTTTCATGGCCTAATTATTTCCCTGCGGGCTTAGAGAGCCCTAGGACAGAGAAACCTTGGATGGCCCTGATGCTAGCATGAAAGAGCCACCAGATGGCTCATCACCCCCTGCTATACTGGACAGGCAACCCCAGTCGGCCAGGAGGAAAAGTACCACATTCAGAGTGTCACAGGGCAGACAGCATCAATTCTTCCATCCTGGCCTGCAGTAACAAACCAAGCAGCCACACCCACGCCCACGGGTAGAGAAAGGGCAATGGCTGAGAGTCAAGCAGTCCAAGTCTTCACCCTGACCTCGCCACCTACTTGATCGGTGACCTGGGGCAACCTCCTGGCCTTGGCTTTTCACTGCCGAGCGGAGTGGCTGGGTGCATGGTGCCTGATGCTCCAGCCCCACAAGGACTGAGGTTGGGTCACCAGCTGCTGCCCTCTGTGTGCCTCAGGACTTCACTGAGCAGGACCCCAGCTCTCTACTGGTGCATCCACTCCAGGACTGAGCAGTGTGTGAGGGAGGGGGTTGTGGCCTCCAAGCCTGCTCAGAACATCATGTCCCAGAGACCTTCGTGGATGGAAGCAGCAGTGGACGAATGCATGGATGCGTTCTGGTAGAATAAGCAGGGTCGAGGGAGCAAGCACTCAGAGAAGAAGTTCTGACATGCTAGACCTGTGCTGCCTCAGAGAAACAGAGCATGAGCCATGTTATGTGATTCAATCAATTTCAATAGCATTTTCTTTAATCCTATATAGAAAAACATTATGATTTCAACAGGCAGCCATTAAACAGGCTGTTAGTCTTTCCCCAGATCCCTCAGTTCCTGGAAAGCCTGCTCTGGTGATTAGGAGAATTATTTGCTATCAGCTCACTTGCCAGATGGCTCCTGTCAGTCCCTAGGGACACTCCCTGCCCCTGCCTGTGATGGCTCATGCTCTGGCAGCTGGCAAGCACACAGTAGAGGTGGGCAGAGGAGAGGAGCTGGCACAGCTGTCTCCCTATAGGGTCCCCATCAGTCCTGTGTCCCGCCACCAACAACGACAGCTCTTACTTACGGGAGGCCTCTCGCACAGCCCTTCTCCTCTTCCAGGAGAGATGCTGGCTTCTTCCTCACTCACAGGAGTGCTGCTGAGCCCAGTGTCATCAGCCTCAGAGTACTGGACTGGCTTTGTGATTTCTTACACCCCATCCACACCTGGGTAAACTGCCCCTTCTGTAAGCCATCTTGCAGGACGTGGCTGACACAGTGCTGGTCACCCCTCAGATGCATAGGGGCCTGGTGTTGGAGTAAGGGGGACACTTAGGTATCTTCTAGGTCAGCTCCTCTGTCTGTGTGAGATGCCCGGTATTCAGGGAGGCTGCGATCTGGCCGTGGTCACTGAGCGGGCTTGTCGTGGACTTTCCCTGCTCTTGGCAGAGGCAAGTCCCAAGACGGGTGGCAGTGCCGTCTCCAGGAACAAGAGCCTGGGTCACTGGGCTGACTCCCAAGGGGCAGCAGCTGGAGGCTGGGAGAGGTGGTTTCTTATGTTGGGGGCAGCTTGCCAGTTTGGCGTCTCCGTCAGTAGCTCCCCTTGCACGCCTCTCTTTTCCCTCGCCAGGGATCGGACCCATCCACCTCAATGAGGTCCGGTGCACAGGGGCGGAGAAGTCCATCATTGAGTGCAAACTGAACACAGAGTCACAGGGCTGCAACCATGAGGAGGATGCGGGTGTGCGCTGCAACATCCCCACCATGGGCTTCCAGAAGAAGGTGAGGGCCTGGTCGCCAGCAGGGAGTGTGCCACTGGGGCCCCAGAAAACAGACTCGCTCTGAGAGACCCTCCTGGGTGTACAAGGCTACTCTAAGATGCGGGGCTCGGGCTCTACTGCTGTTGCTGTTAAGGTCATTGTCACCTGGCATTTGTAAACATGTCATAGGACATATGAAAGTTCTCCCTCCTGAGTGGCAGGTGCCAGCTACCCACTGTGGGCCACGTCTTGCTCTGGGACTGAACACAGTGTGACGGCATCTCAGTCCTTTGGGACTCAAGGCCTCCCACACCGGTGACATCTGTGGGATGAGCTTTTGCCACCATCCAGAGGCACCCCTGGGACAGCGGGGCTGCGGACTACACAAATGTGAGCATGATGCACAAGGCATTTGGGAGCCAGAGGTAACAAAAAGACACAGAGGTTTAACCCTCTTTTATTCATATTGGACCCATCGCAACACGGGGCTGTCTGAAGCTCCTGGAAGGGTCCTGGCCCTGCCCTGTGTGCCCTGCCATGCGCCCCTCTGGAGGGCCTTCAGCACTCCCAGTGGGGAGGAACTGGAAACCAGGCCCAGAGGAGGGTTAGCCTTGGTTCTAGCTCAGGCTTTGGGTTTGCAGAGAGATTGTTCAAAGGCCTGCAGTCTGGGCCACTCTCCCTGTGGTGTCTCTCTGTCCTGGACACAGGACCAGGACCAAACCAGAGGATGGGAGGCCTGGGGTCAGGGGAGTGGGGAGTGGGGCAGGCTAGGGCCTGGCTGGCAGCAGCTGCCAACTGGTGACCAGAGGGGCATTTCTAGGTGTCCTCAGCCCCAGGGGTCAGCCCAGACCCTAGGACTTCAGTGGACAGTGAATGTCCAGAACGTCTTGGCCAGGCCCCCTCCTGGAAGGAGCCCAGCCTGGCTTCCAGCTCTGGCTCAGTGCTGTTCACCTTTGGTCAGCAGTATCCTTGGCCAAGGGTACCAATGGATAATACTCTGGAGACAGTGGTGGGGGAGTTAAAGCCGTATCAGAAACTCCACTTTCCCATCCATAAAATGGCATTGACCAGGGTGCTGCTGGCCCGCAGAGTTGGGTAAAGGCCAAAGGCCTATGTCTTTAAAGGTCAGGCACAGGCAAGGATATGGTTAGTGCGCCTAAAGCCTTTGGTCCGAGGACAGCTCCTGTCACGGCATGTGCGCGGTGCATGCTGGGAAATGGCTGGGCGCAAGGCGGCACTTACACCATCTCTCGGAGTTCCGCGAGCACTCAGAGCAGGTGCACAAATGCGCAGGTGCCTCAGCGTTGGGCCATGCTGGGCGTGACACTGCCATGGGGCCCCGGAGGCTGCTCGAGAACCCAAGGATGGATTTCTGTCAAGAAACAGAATCAGCTTGCGGAAGTTGCGGCTGACGCAGTTATGTGAGCAAGCGCCCCTTTATACTCCTGCTCACCCTGTTTTCTCATGTCCCCAGGTGCGCCTGAGTGGTGGCCGCAATCCCTACGAGGGCCGAGTGGAGGTGTTGACAGAGAGGAACGGGTCCTTGGTGTGGGGGACAGTGTGCGGTCAGAACTGGGGCATCGTGGAAGCCATGGTGGTCTGTCGGCAGCTGGGCTTGGGGTTCGCCAGCAACGCTTTCCAGGTGAGAAGCCGGGCTTTGGGGTCTACCACCCCCATCCAGCCTCCCTCACCCACTGCCAACCAGCACCCCTACTGGAGGAGCCTGTGAGGAAGGTCCAAATCCCCAACCCACGCCCAGAGGCAGGGGGCTTTGTTCTGGCCACAGCTCTGCCCCACAGCCCGAGGTCCTCGGTTGGTTGGTTGGTTGGTTGGTTGGTTGGTTGGTTGGTGTCTCCTTCTCTGAGCTCTGTTTTGAGCCCTCAGGGCAGAGGGATTGGACTCCTGTGTCTGCAGTCAGAACTGGGATTCTTACACTGTGCCCACAAGTGGGGATTTCCCCTGGGGGAGGCTGAGCCTCACCAGCCATAGTGGGATTTTTGCGGGGTGAGCATCTCAGTCCTTCAGGGCAGAGGTGACTGCCCAGCCTAGGCCCAGCACCCTAATGCCCTAGCTCACCGACTTGGAAGTCCTCAGCTGCAGTGTGCCCAGTGGGGGGCTGTGCCACAGGTCTTCTCCCATGCTCATGGCAGCAAATCCCCAAGCCGAGTCCAGAGCCCTGGGCATGTGGCTTCCCTTCCTCCCAGGGCTCCTTCCCCCAGAGGATGACTTAGCAGGGAATCTCTGAGCGCTGGTCTTCATCCCCATCTCCCACTCGTCGTCGGTTCCTAAGTGCTCCCACCTGTCTGGCTGCATGACGGCCAGGAGCAAAGCAGCCACCTCCAAGCCTCCATCCCACCTCCTGAGACCTGGCCCAGAGGACCCCAAGTCTTCGGTACCCTGGATCTAAACCTGTACGAGGGAAGACTGTGCTTAGAGACCCTTCTTGCTTGGTTACCTGTCCTCAACTCTGGTCCCAAGCAGCCTTTCTTAGGCCCTAAGAAAGGGGATTCAGAGAAGTGGAAAGTGTTCCTGGGAAGGGTCTCATGGTTTGGCACAGGTGGGAGAGAGGCCCACAGTGCCCCAAGAGAAGTGCAGGGACTCTTTCAGGTCTCCTACCCTGTGGCTCCTCGGTCCAGCATCTGGAAGGAACAAGTCTCTGACATAGTAGCCTCTCCCCTCCCAGGACAATGTGGTGTTTCTGCTGGCACTGTTAGTGACAAGTGGTGGCCAGCTCTGATTGTCCAGGGGGAGTGGGAAAACAGCTGCCATTAAGCTGCTTTTGTTCTCTGTCACTTAATTTCTAAGACACCTGGGCCTCAACTGGGGCTATGAAATGGCACTGGCATGGCACTGGTCCCAAATCTGCCCCTGGTTATAAGCTGTGCTCAGGGCTGTGTGGAAAATAAGGAGGATGTTTTAGGTCGGGTTCTGTCAAGAAACAGAATCAATAGAATGTGTGATTGTACATTTGTCCCTGGTATCCGTGCTCCCAGGACCCTGTCAGACACCAGACTCCAAGAATACTCTGGACCTTTGTATAAAATGGTGCAGTATTTGTGCATAACCTGTGCAGTCCTGCCATACACTTTGAATCCTCTCTAGGTTACTACTAATGCATAATGCAATGGAAACGGAAACAGTTGTTATCTTGTATTACATAAAGAATAGTAGCAAGAAAAAAGTCTGATATAATTAGTACAAAGATAGCTTTTAAAAAAATACTTTCAATCTGCAGTTGGTTGAATCCATGTATGCAGAAGTCATGGATACAGAAGACCGGATCTATTATCCATCTGGTGAGAGAAAGAGATTTGCGGAATTGGCTCCTAGGATTTTGGAAGCTGGCAAGTCCATCTCTGCAGGGCAGGCTGCCAGGCTGCAGGCCCAGGGAGGGCCACCGGCATCCGGAGGCAGAATTCCCTGTTCCTGGCAGGACCTCATTCTTTTTCTCTCTGAAGGTCCTTCACCCCTTGGATGAGGTCCGCCCTCCTTAGGGAGGACAATCTGTATTGCTCAGATCAGCTAACTTAAATGGAAGCCCACCTGAAAACTACCCACCAGAAACATCCAGCCCCACATTTGACCAGATAGCTGGGTACTGCGGTTCAGCCACAGGTTTCCACTACTTCTGCACCACTCTCTGTTTCTCACTTCTCTCTGCTGCAAAGATCTCTCAAAGTGAGAGATTTCATCCTAACCATCTTTTGAAGCCTCCTGGATCAAAGGAGCCAGATGAATTTCAGCATCACAAACCTAGGATCTCCACAGCCTCTGTGTAGGGCTACTCAATTAATTGCTTTTCTCAGAAGCGAGTTCAGAAGTCAGACTTGATGCGGTATCTAATGATTGACATATGAAAATAAAGGTCTTCTCTGCAACCAATTGATCAAGTTCTGATCAATTGATAATGTCTTTCTAGAGCACTGTGCTGAGGCTTTGAGGCTCTGACTGATTAGCAGTGTCTGCCCTGGTCTGCCATGCTGCACCCTAAGCTCCTGTCCCATCAATCGTAGACTCTGCTGTGCTGTCACAATGTGCACAGAGGCACAATGCAAGTGCTGGTCAGGAGACCTAGATTGTCAACTCATTCTGCCACGATCTGATTGTGTGTGAGGAGAAGTTGACTGTGCCTTAGCTATCTCCAACTGAAAAATGGGCTTATACCTTGGGGGAGGGATTGTTGAAACTCTGAAGTTGACAGAATATGAGAAAGCGACCATTGGAAGTGACTGCTGGCATTTCTTTTGTTCATTCATCCAGGAGACCTGGTACTGGCATGGAAATGATGGCAACAGAGTGGTCATGAGTGGGGTGAAGTGCTCAGGAACAGAGCTGTCCCTGGCACACTGCCGCCACGACGAGGACGTGTTCTGCCCCCAGGGTGCAGTGCAGTTTGGGGCCGGAGTCGCCTGCTCAGAAAGTGAGTCCCAGGGGCACCCTCTCAGCCTCCCTGCCACCCCAGGCTCCTGGCTTACTTCCTGTTTCCAAGCCCTGGTGGCCATGTGGCTGCCTGACGATACCCCCTACACACATACCACTGTGCCAGAGAGGTGGGACATTTGGAAGGGGCAGCCCAGCCAGGATTCTGAGTGGCCTGGGTCATGCTGAGAGTGTCTTCCAGTGTCCTGAAGGTCAGTCTCCCACCCAAGCCATCTCTGACCAGTTGAGAGCAGATGCTGCCTTGTTAGCTGACCTGGAAAGTTAACTGTCCATGGGGGTCCTCACTTCCGGTTGTCCCGGAACACTGGAGACCAGACTTAACAGTGGATATGTTCAGGGGTGCAACAAACACTGTCACCTTACCATCACCAAGAGCAAAGGGAAGATTGCCCCCTAGCTCAGTCAGCTCTAATCTCTTTTCACTTGGTGCTTCCTAATCCTGGGAAAGCAGCGCTCTTGGCCCGCAGTGATCACACTGAGAAAATCACAATGGTCACATCCTGTCAGAGAGGAGAGACAGTGAGATCACACTCTTAGCAGTCCTCCAAGGAAACAGCATCCAATGCACTCATTGGTGTATTCATATCTGCAGTATCTTATCCTTTTCAAAGGAAAATTAAGGTATTATAAACCTAAGCAAAAGTCAAAATAGCATAGTATAAAAACATGTAGAAATAATACAACAACATGTGGAAAGGTGGGTACTGGCAAAAAAAAAAAAAAAAAAAAATGGAGTTAAAAAAGAGGGAAATTTAAAAACCTGTTGTATCCTGGAGTTCTATACATTTACTAGGGGTAGATCAGTAGTTTCGCAGTGAATTTCCTAGCAACCAGCAGAAAGAAAAAAGAAACCTGGTCAGGAAAAGAATTTAAAGACCTTCTGGGATGGAACAAACGTGTGAGTGAGTTTTAAGGGCTCAGAGTGGCTTCCACTTAGTAGCTCCAAGGGGACAGTGCTGTGTGGGCCAGGAACACAGCTCCTGGGGGCTGGCCAGAGGCGTGTTATTCCAGGAGATTCTCCAGGCGACCTTGGTCATTCTTCTCAGCGAAGGCGGTCTACAGGCCCCAGACCTGCGAAACTCCCTTGATACCATTCCTTCTCACCACCTCCCATGTCCAGCTCATCTGGATTTTCACTTTTCAGTACTTTCTTGACTCCACCTACACCCTTCCACCCACTGTCCCTGCCTGTGTCCAGATGGCTGCCTTCCATACTATATCACACAATGGCTCCTCAAGGGAAAGCCACCGTGAAACAAGCCCCTCAGTCACTCCCCAAAGCCAGCACCAATGCCCCACGCCTACTCTCTTCCCATTCAAATTCCTGTCAAGTTTCCATTAAGGAAACAAAAGGATTTTCCCAGAGCTGGTGTTGTCCAGCTTCTGGGAAACACACACACACACACACACACACACACACACACCCCACGTGCAGTGTTCCAATCCCACTGTCAAGTCCCCCACCCCTCGGCAGCTTTAGGGAGCAGGTTCCCAGCTCCTAGCAGAGCAAATGAAGACCACCTTTACTCCTGAGCTGGAGGGTGTACACAATAAGGAGCTCCTAGGTAGAGGGCCATGCTGGGAGTGCTAAGCAGGGCCCAGACAAGTGAGACATTCACACTAAAAAATATAGAGTCCCCAGAACCCAGGAAGCTGAGGGGGAAAAGGCTTGTCAGTGCCTGGGAGCCTCCTGATCTCTGTCTTCTGTCCCCATCCCACTTCCCACCTGTGCACTCTGTGGGCAGATTTGCTGTACAGCGGCCACTGGCCCGACAGGTCCAGCTCCAGGTCCTATGAACTTTACATCCAGCTTGGCAGGTCCAATTTACATGCAGCGTGGCATGAAATAAGACAGCAGGATCAGTTGTCAGTCAAGTGTCTGGGATATGTGCTGTAGAAATGCCCAAGGGAAGCTCATAGGAATAGGGAAATCTACAGCCTGTGTCAAGGAGGCTTAAAAACAGGCGCAGCCCCCAGTCCTTCTTCCAGTGTCCACTAGGTGTAACACGCTCTAAGAAGAATCAAGCTTGGGAAAGCTGGGTGTGGCGGAAACAGAACTACCTGGTGAAGAGGGCAACTTGGCAGTAGGCTGCAGAGCCGTAACATTATGCAGCCCTTTCTTCTGGCCATTTTACTGATGCAAATGTCTCCTGAAGAAAACACTTTGTATGTACATACTTACTGTAGGCTGTTTGTCACAACTTTGTCCTTAACTCCAAAACTTCTAAACAGTGTACACAACTAAGACGTGGCAGGCGTAGATAGGAAATAAATATTATGTCACCATGAAAGTGAATATTGTAATGGATATATCTATTAAGCAGTCAAAATGTATTTTAAGAAGGACAGTTTTAGCAGACTGTAAATCTACATGCATATTATACATGTTGGAAAGTATACTCTTCCCAGAAAAATCAGACCAAGGGTGGAGCAGTGTTCTCTCTCTCCCATCGTTATTGCTGGGTTTCATTTTTTATTCTTATTATGGAGCATTTGAAGTCACTTGAGAGTAGAGAGAATATAGCCAGGGTCGCACACTCCTTCCCCACATCTCACACTTGTAAGCATTTGCCCCTGTGCTGATAACGAGTTGTCCAAGGACGCCCAGGGAAGAGTCTGGGGACATGGCCAGCAAGGGCAGTAATTGTGAGGAGCCCCCAGGCGGTGGTGGCAGGCAGGACGGGGGGTGTGCAGGCCTGGGGGTCAGAAGGATCCTGGAGGAGGGGTCTCCACGGTGTGACCACTGTGTCTGTCTTCCCAGCGGCCCCCGACCTGGTGCTCAACGCGGAGCTGGTGAAGGAGACCACCTACCTGGAGGAGCGGCCGATGTCCATGCTACTGTGTGCCCGGGAGGAGAACTGCCTCTCAGCCTCCGCTGCACTTGTGCAGAGCGACGAGGAGCTGGTCCGCCACTACCGCCGCCTGCTGCGCTTCTCCTCCCAGATCCACAACAACGGCCAGTCCGACTTCCGCCCCAAGAACGGCCGCCACGCGTGGATCTGGCACGACTGTCACAGGTAGGGCCACTCCCATCGCCACCCAGCCGTTCCAACCTGACATCCTGCATGTGCCAGCGGGACAGGCTACCGGCCACACTCGCCTTGCTTGTCCACATCTAGCTCCCGGGCCACCTCCCTTCCAAGTCTCCTCCGGGCCTCTAGCGCTCCTAGTTAGGCTGCTCTCCTAGCACCCAGCCCTGCCAGTGACCTTCAGTAAATGGTCCTGATATAGAGGACATACAACTCCCTACCTGCTCGATGTCTGATGTGAGCTCACATTCTCTAAACTCGAAGAACGAATTCTAGGAAAAACAATATATTTATTGGGGAAAGAAGACTTCTCTCTGAGACAGACAGAAGGGATCCCAAGTAGGTTACCAAGGACACCGCTTTTCAAGGGAATTTTATAGAGCAAAACCAGGAGGTGAGGTGTGCCTAATGTGGGAAAAACTTAATCAACTAATAAGATTGCATGTGTAGTCACTTAGGTAACTGAAAGAAAAGGGGAAATGGGCACTGGTTTTTATGGCATTTTTGTGTGTATTCTATGGGCCGTGTGGGCAACCTAATGGGAGAGAAATCTTGAGGAACAGGGCTGTATTGAAGAGAAGTGAGCATTGGCATCTGTCTGTTGGAAATTGCCTGTGTATGATTTTGTTAAAAAAAAAAAAATGGAGAATTTAGGCAGAAAACGCAGTAAGACCTTTTCCCCCAAACAAACAGAAGTGTGTCCTTTTTCTGGGGATGGAGACACGGCAGGTCCGTTAGGTGGAAAGATCTCAATGAACATCAGTGGCTAAAGGTGGTTGGCAATCTTGCATCTTAGTGGGCAGAATTTTCTGAAGTGTTTGTTGTACAGTTTTGTGTGTCATCAGGCCCTGAAAAATTCCTCCTTCTCTTTTTTGTCTCCTTTCCCATGTTTATGGATGATGACTTCAACCTCGGGTGCCGAGCCGAGTTCCCCGGGAGAGAGAGATCTGTAGGAGACTCACAGTAGCACTGATCCAGTGGGGAAGCCCAAAGTGGGTGTAAGGTCGAACAGACTTTGGTGAACCAGTGAGATTACAAGAGTAATTGCTGAGGGAATGTTGATGAAATGGGGATCAAATGGGGCAGAAGTCCTGTGGCCAGCATAGATGGACTTTTCCTGAAGGGTATGGGTCAGTGGCTCTTCTCGACCCACCAACCAAGGTGATTGATACCTGGTTAGAATATCAACCACTACTGCTGGTCCCTATAGCAAGTATGTGGTGTCATCATTTTGTACTTTGTATTGAGAGCTGACCTTGAAGGTCCGTGCCCCATCCACAGCTGCCGTGTGTTCTCATCTTCCCCACAGACCCTGGAGGGCTGTCCCTGTCTGCCTATAATATTTTTACCTAACTTAGCTGTCTGTAATATTCCCATTACCTCTGCTGAATCATCACCAGAAACCTATCTTTAGCTTCTTTTTCATGTCACAACTTACAGTCACATTCAGAAGTTTCAGGACAGAATTGCTCAACTTCTTTCAAAAGAAAAGACTACAAAAGCATTTAAGGGTCCTGATTTTCCCTTACAGTGATTATCTGAATGTGCTGAAAGCCCTAATGAGTCAAAGAATTTCTGGCCTTCATACAAAAGCCCATGCATCTCCTTCAGGGCATGAGCTGGAGTTGGGTTAGGGTCATGACCATCTTGGTGGCTGGTTTTCTCTATAGACCATGTGGCTGGAAGCCAGGGCCAGCTGGGGCTGACACTGCCTATGGGGCTCTAAGTGGAAGGTAATTGTACCCCAGCTCCACCCATGGCGGCCCACCCAAAGATTACAAGGTAGGAGTCTCCAAGTGCCATATGCTTTCTCCCAGGGAGCCAGATTCTCTAAGAATAGTCACAGTGACATCACAGAAATGTTCTGGAGTCCCAGAGACTCTGACTCCCCTCACTTTTCCAGTGGTTGGTTTTAGTCCTCTGCTTACAGATGGTCTGGTCAATGGTTTGGGAGAGAAGGGGAGGGAAGAACATGCAGACTGAGCAAGTATCTCTCCAGCCCCCTCCTTCGAGTCCAAAGCTAAGAAACTGTGACCAGAAGGTTCTCCATCCTCCAGGCACTTTGAGGGGGCCTTCCAACAGGGTTCCTGGCCTCAAATCCCTGTTGGGCTCCTTTGGGAGGCTGCTGAAAGCTGGCCCTTCCTCTGGTCAGAACACTGATTTCTAGAGACTTAACATCCCATTTCTGCAGATTTCCAGATGCCCTGAAGCCCATCTGTGGAGCTGAGTGCGAGAACCCTGGCTCCAATTAATGTGAATGGGGAAAAAATGCCACTCGCTGTTTAATTGATGCAACAAGGAGAAACAGAACCTTGTTGCTTGCAAGTGCTGGGCTGGGAGATGAAGGCCGACACACCAGGACATAAAGGAAGTTGGCCTCAAGAGCTGCTCTCTCCAGTCCTGGTGCCCTTGGTTGGTGACCTAAAGCAGTCCTCCTCCTGCCTCAAGCCCCAGGATGTGGCTGCTGGGTGCTCCTTGGAGGTGACAGGCCGCAGGTCAGGGATGGCGCTGCTGCAGGAGGAAGCTCCTTCTGTCCGGTTACTAGCAAGCATCAGGTCTCAGTGTCCTGGGGTTTATTTCTGTCTCTGGCCTGGGCTCATGTCCCTCCCTAGACCTCAAGCTGGGACACAGGGTGCCCACCTTGGTGACTGGGACTTGCCCTCCACCTTCACAGCACTCAACTGTACCTGTGGTGGGAGTGGGGTGAGCAGGTGGTGGTGGTGGTGAGGGGGGCTCCGGGCTGTACCTCAGGCCAGCTGCGATTCCCACCTACACCCAGAGGTAAGCAGAGGTGCTCCAGGACAGAAGCCAGAGAAGGCAGAGAGGCAGTGAAATCAACTACTCCCCTGCCGACATTTGCAGGGGAAAAACTGAGGCTGGAGGAGCCTTAAATCAGGCCCGCCGGAAGCCGGGTGGCAGAGGCCCCTCACAACGGCCGTCTGTGCTCCGTCTGTGTGCTCCGTCTGCATTCTGTTTAGACAACGGGACCCAGCCCTACCCCTCTTCAGTCTTTCCAGCCAGCAGCATGGTCACATAAGCCCCTCTCTGAATGAGAGCAGACATTTTTTAGGCAGTGAGTCAGACCTCATGTCTCATCAGGCTGCTTGAGGAAGCCAAAATAGACTCTTTCAGAGTCATCGCCTGAACTGCCACAAACTCTTCCTTGTGTGAGTTCTCCCTGGGCCCCTGGCCCAGCACCAGTTTCCTCAAGACACCAGTGACCTGGGGGAAGCCCAACTTAGCAACTCCTGCCATTATTTTTAGCACAAGCAAACACAGGCGCGGAAGAGAAAAGAGTCTCTAATTTCCTCTCAGAAAACCCATCCTTGCCCTCCTCTCCTCCCCCACATACAGTGGGACCTAAGGCCACTGCAGGAGGCCCGGGGAGCGAGGGGCCCCAGTCAGCCCAGGAGTCACCACTAAGTAGAATGAAATGCTGGACTACCGCTGTTACTGCTGAGGGGAGGCTTGGTGGTGAGAAAGCTGACAGGCGCAGAGTTCTCTGGTTCCAGCCCTGCAGTAGGCATTTCATGGCTTCTGTCCTGTCGGTCCTTCGTGGCCCGGGGAGGTGGCCACGTTGTCATTGCCTCCTCACTGAGAAAGTCACTCAGGTCGAGCGTAAACCAAACAAGGGGCTGTGTCCATGCCTTGGTGCCTGGTTCTCTTGTGCTCCCCATTTTCTGAATGTCTCTGTACTGGTTGGGACAAGCGTGCTGGAATAGTTGGGGGTCACACAGGTCGAGATAGGGCATAGCCAGCCCATTTGTACCTTGGGCTCAGGGCCTGGGCAGTGGGTTATTCAGGAAGCCACATTTGCCTTATTTGTTCTGAACCAAACTTGTCACTTTCCAAGATTCCGCATCTGTTCTCAATTCCTCCACAGTGAGGAGATGGCCCGCCGTAAACAGTCAGCAGGGAAACTGCAGCCAGCTTACTCCCTTCCTGAACCCTAGGGGCGCCTCCGCTGTAGCTGCCCCACTGCAGCCTTCCCCAAGGATGCCTCTCCTTCCCAGAGTCCTCTGCTCTCCATCTGCCTCTTTGTGATGCCTCCATGCAAGAGGAACATTCCTGTCACCCAAAGCCACCTCCTCCTACCATAAAGCACACGTGTCCCCAGGGTCCACTCATGTCCTCCAGACACACCCAGTTTCCTAGGGCCACTTCCCCCTTACTTACAGCTTACACCATCCCTACCATATTTCCCTACCATATTTCTACCTTAAAATGTGTCCAAAAGACATCAGAATGTGATTCTCTTTATTAGCTTAGAGAAACCAGGAATGAGCCGAGTGCTTTGAAGGGCCCCTGCTTGTTGAACATAATAGGGCTCAGCGCCCAACACTTAGCCTCACTAATGGCCACAGAGCTCCACAACATACGGTGCACACTCCATGCCTGGCACTTCCTTCCTTTCCCATGTCTTCCCTCTTTCTCCCCTCACCACCCTCACCCAAGGTCAGATTCCCAGCTGGGCAGCTGCTCGCAGGCCAAGCGGCTCCAGACACTAACCACAGACCCTCCTTGCTCGCAGACACTACCACAGCATGGAGGTTTTCACCCACTATGACCTGCTGAACCTCAATGGCACCAAGGTGGCCGAGGGCCACAAGGCCAGCTTCTGCTTGGAGGACACAGAATGCGAAGGAGGTATGTGTACGAGGGTTGGGGGCTTCTGAGGGGCTCCTGCCAACTCTGGGTAGCCCTGGGCACTGGGGACTCTCCATGTCCTTTGTCTGCACTGGACCTTTGTGTGCCCGCTCTCTGGGGCTTTCCTGGGATACAGGTAGGGGCTCCATGGAGGAGGGGCACCTGCAGGAAGGAGACGCACATGGGTAAGGTACAGAGGGGCGTCCTGTTGAAGTAAGAGCAGAGGAAGCAAAAATAGGAGCTGGGGCAGCAGGGCTAGGGGCTGTTGCTGATGGTCCCTCCTCCACCCCTGCCTGCAGATATCCAGAAAAGTTACGAGTGTGCCAACTTTGGGGAGCAGGGCATCACCATGGGCTGCTGGGACATCTACCGTCATGACATCGACTGCCAGTGGATTGACATCACCGACGTGCCCCCTGGAGAATACCTGTTCCAGGTGAGGGGTGTCAGGGAGGGATCCATGGCACTGCTGTGGGAAGGGCCACCCCACAGCCTCCTTCCTGGAGGTGCTAGGAGCAGGCCCTGGAGGCCAGGCAGTGCCAAGGCAGGTGCTACACAGACCCTCACATCTAGCAGGTCAACTGCATGAGCAAGGCGGGAGGGCATGTAGGGCCTGGGGGAAGCCAGGGTGCCTGGGATGTGTGCAGGTAGTTCAGTTTGCTCAGTACTTGCAAATAAAAATTCACCTGCAGGCAGGCTTAGCTATTGGGCCAGGAATTGGCTCCCTGGCCTCGAAAGCTGTTCACTCCTTTGGCCTCCCTTTAAGCTCCTCTCCCCTCCACCCTGACTTTGCTCAGTGACCTCACCCAGTCTGGATCTGTCATGTGGGGGCCGAAAGCAATTCCACAAGGAGCTGGTCACTCCCTAGTGTTGGTGATGTCCCTCTCTCAGAAAACAGGATCTGTAGAGAGGCCACTGTCCACACAAAGCAATGAATCTGTAGAATGTCAAGTGCTAGGGACAGCCTGGGAGCTGTTTTGTGGGGCCCTCCCAGGGCTTCCACATTTGGTGTAGGAGGATGGCCAGTCCTGCAGAGAAGGCAGGGAGCTCGGGGATGCTCCATCCTGGGCCCACCTGGGAGGAGACACAGGAGACACTGTGTCACCTTTGCCTCCTCTCCGGCACATAGCAGGCTGAGTCATCATTTTGACACATCCCCACCCATCTTGCTTTCCTGCCTGCCCTGGGTGGCAAGGTGGGTGACCAGAATGCGTGATTCTGCCTTGAACACTTTCCCAATGGTGCATGGAGGCAGCCCAGGGTTTGGCCTGCAGTCCCTGCCACCAGACGGAGTTTCCCTGAGGAATCAGCACCTGCAGAGAAGTGACCACAGGGGTTTTGAGAGGTTGCCCTGGCAGTGCCAGAGGTTGGGAGTCAGGCAGCCAAGCCCTTCCCCGCCCATGAGCCTGAACCGGACTTGGAGAGGCCCAGCCAAGTGGCTCTGTTCTACTAAATGAGTACCTGTGACCGCGTGTGCATGGACAGTAATTGATGACTTCTGTTGGCCATTTGCCGTGAACAGTGACACTGTAGATTCTGACAAATGCCATCAGTTTAATAAGTACACTTTATTGAGGATTTATGCCGAGCTGGGCTCCGCTTTGGCCCAGTGAATGCATCATCCCATTAAACAGCAGGGTAAGGTCTTACTACCGTCCTCATTTGATGGCCCGGCACACCCAGGTCACATGAACTCTGTAGTCTGCGTCCTTGGACTAAATGAAGCAACTAGCAGATGGACTCATGAGGGGCATCGCAGTGCTTCTGATGAGCCAAAAGAGAAATATTTGCCTCCTCCATGAGGAGAAGCTCTGGGTGCCTGAGAGCACTGGACAGAGGTCACTGCACCCGAAGGTCCATGTCAGTGCAGGGACAGGAAGAGGGCACCAGGTGGCAAGGAGGGGAATTCCAGGACGGGACCTGCATGCAGTGTCACAGGCCCAGCTCTGTGGGCCACTCGGTTCCAGTCACCCTTGCTTTGTCTTCTTTCTTGTCATTTCCCCAATTGACAGAAACACAGGAAACTAAACCCCTTCCCACAGCCTGATGACTCTGGAATGCAGCCATACAGCGGGAGGGGCTGTGGGGACCACGTATTCCAGCCCCCACTTCTTCTCCCCAGGTGGGCCATGCTGACCCTGATGGCTCTGACTTAGGCCCTCATTCTGTCCCACGGCCCTTGTGAACACACCTCAGGGACAGCTGGGTGGGCAATGGACCCAAGGGCCACAGTGTGCAAGGCGTTGTTTGCCTCTGGTCCTGTGGCTTGGGATGAGGCATCAGTTGGTTACTGAGTACAAAAGAGATCAAAGAAAGGCAGGCCATTCCGGAGCAGGACCTTTAGCACTTGGTCAGCAAGGGCACGTCTAGACAGCCGGGCCAGACGCCGGTCCCCAGGGTGGCCTCTGCCTGGCCAGGCCACAGGCTGGCTTCAGTTTCCATTTCTCTTCCAACAGGCCAGTCTGGTAAGGGGTCCTGTCCAGGGCCCTCTGGAGCCCCACACCTGGAATGTCCCTTAGCGGTTGTAGCCCCTCTGAATACACGCAGCCCCTGAGGAAAGTCCTGTCCCATGTCCCTTGAACCTTCACTCACTGCCCCAGCCAGATTTGTCTTGTTGCCTCTGCCTCCTGTATTTGCTTCTCTCCTCAGTTCCTCACCCCAAACCTCCCCTTTCCGTCCCTTCCCAGACCCCTCTCAGCATGAGGTCAGCCCTGGGTGGTGGAGCAGAAAGGGCTGTAGGGTCACCTGGTCCTAGGCCCAGGGGTAGAAAGGGGCCCATACAGCCACCACTGCCGTGAGGCAGCCCTCTTCCTTCTCCCTACCCCATCTCTGCAGCTGGCTTCCTCTTCCTTCTAGGAAAGGCCCAGCTGTTTGTTCTGGGGTCCCAGGAAGGGTGACCTTGCTAGAGGCCTCCCCTTGTGACTGAGACAGGCAGGCAGAAGGTCCTGAGGTCTCACTGTTCCAGGCCATGCTCCTCACTGCCACCCAGCGCTGAGCTCTGCCCTGCCTAAAGGACATCGCCAGGACCCACTTTCTCCCCTCTGGCCAGTCCTGCCCTCAACTGCTCTTTGTTGTTATTGTTGTTTTGTTTTGTGGTACCAGGGATTGAACTCAGGACCTTGTGCTTGCCAGGCAAGCACTTAGCCACTCTTTGGCACCTCCTTTGGCACCTGCTGCCTTTAGAAGCCAGGCTAGCCTTGGCAGACCTGAGCTGTGGGTACAGGACGACCAAGGAGGGAAGTAACAGCAGCTTCTGACTTGATTCCCCCCAGGTTGTCATTAACCCCAACTATGAGGTCCCAGAGTCAGATTTCTCCAACAACATCATGAAGTGCAGGTGTCGCTATGACGGTCACCGCATCTGGATGTACAACTGCCACATAGGTAAGGCCCCGGGCCTGCCCCGCCCCACCTTGGCCCACCCTCAGGCCAGGGCAGAGCTGCCCTACTTTCTCCAGGAAGCAGAGGCAGCAGCCAGCACCACATTCCTGGGTTCAGGAGACAGCAACTGGCTCCAGAGGCCTGGGCGGAGGCTGTTTCATAGCCAGCTCTGGCCCAGCAGAGGGCGGCACAGAATGGGCTGCACCCAGAGAGCAGACCCTATAGCTCTTTAAGGGCTTGAGCTGAGTCCACCAACTCATCATGCATGGGGCCTCAAAAATGTGGGTGTCAGCAAAGGGTAGGCTGTGTACCGGGTTCTCCTCTGTGAAAAATTAGAAGCAAGAACCACTGTTACTTCTTGTCTCCATTTATGCTTTTTTTTCTTGGATTATATGACTCGGGATAACAAAGAAAGCAGAGCTTTCGGCTGTGCAGGAAGGTGACAGTGAAATTAAAGACACTACAGCCTGGTGGCACTCAGTGGCCCCGGCTCAGGTTAAGGGCTGAGCATCTCACTGGCCAAACCTTCTCCCCGATTCCCCTCCTCAGGCGGCTCACTGAGTGAGGAGACAGAACAGAAGTTTGAGCAGTTCAGTGGACTCTTAAATAATCAGCTCTCCACGCAGTAAGGACGCCTCGGGGTCACCTCCTGTCTTCGGGTCAACCCGCATCTCCCCGGGGGCCATCCAGACTCAACTCAGGAGGAGGTGCGCCCTCATCACCAGGTGCTGTGGCCTGGGCTGGCCTCGGAGGCTGGGCTTGGCTACGGGGCTGTGGGAGCAGTGCCGGGAGTTAACTTGCCAGCATCTGGAGTGACACGCAGGCTGCCATCGGCTTGCGCCAGCTGAGCCATGGTCCACCCTCCACACGACGCCCCTAGACTACACGGTTCATATGGGGTGGATTCCCTCTGCGGCGAAACACAGCACATGGGAGCTACGTGCCCCGGGGGAGGCCAGGGTGACCCCCAGCAGACTTGAACACAGACTTCTCCTCCCAGCCTGCCAACTGGCTCTGTTCAGTCCTAAGTACAGTAGTCCACCCCATCCACAGGGATCCATTCTACAGACCCCAGTGGACGCCACACACCAGTGCCAACCCTACATATACTTTTTCCTACACATACCTAGGATAAAATTTTATTTAGGCACAGTAAGAGGTTAGAAAAAATAGCAAATAAAGCAACTATACCAATATACTGTAATAAAAGCTGCATGAATGTGGTCCCTCTCCCCAAGTAGCTTACCGTGCTTTTGCCTCACTCACAGGAAGCACTTTCTGCCTTCTCTTGGCATTGCCAGGGACGGGACTCTCACCCTTGGGCCATTGTTCAATAAAATAAGTTTTACTTCAACAGGGGCCCTGAGAGTCCGCAACAGTGGGTCTGATAAGAGATGACGCTGGGTGGCTAACGTACACAGCGTGGATGCGCTGGGCAGAGGGGCGAGGCGCGTCCCAGGCGTGAGGCAGCAGAGTGGCTCAAGATTGCATCGTGCTACTCAGGACTGTAAAATTCAGCTGAGAAAGCGCTTCATTTTCCACTTGACATTCTGGACCCCAGTTGGCCTCAAACCTCCGAGCAGAACCTTGGGTAAGGCAGGACTACTGTAACCCTGCCACATCTTCCCACTAGGTGCGCTCACATTGGTGCTCATTCTCGTTGGCGCTTCTCTCCACCCTCCTGCTTCGGAAGATTCCATTACTGTATTTCCACAGCCTTTGAAACACAAGTCATTTATTGTGGCATTTAACATCAGGCATCCGACCGAGCCTTCGAAAATATAGCTCAAAAGAAAGAACAGCCAGCCTGTGTCACTGCGTCATCTTTCTGGTTCTCATTCTGGGGTTACTGATTCAGGGGTAATTGTAACTGGAGTACTGGGGACGCTGGGGCTCACTGACCCATCACAATACACACACACCTGCAACATGGACTAGAAGGTGCTGGACATACACCTGGCCTTCGCCTGAACCTCCGCACCCCCCAGCTCCCTGCTGAAAAGGAGCTTCACCTAGATGCCTAATTACCTCCTTCAGCCTTGGTGTCCCTGCCCCCTACAGTCCAGAGCACCCCGGGAGCTCCTCAATCCAGATTAGGAAGGGAGCAACTACAGCCCTCTGAAAAGCATTCTAGGAAGGTCACAACATTTGACAAAGCCCCAGCAGAGGCTTTTCTGGAACTCCTGGTGCTTTGTATTGAAACTTGTTAGGGTAGAGTAGTTTGGTCAGGACCAGAGGGGACAGCAAGTTTTAAACAGTCATCAGGATCTTCACGAAGGACTGTGTGCCCCTCCCAGCAGCAGGGGGGCGGGTGGCCCAAGCCTCACTCTCACCTGCGAGAAGGGCTTGTGGGGTCAGCCACTCAGGAGTCCACCACGACCCCAAAGCTCCAGCTGGTGCCACCACGGCATCCACTCTCCACAGGAGCCAGCAGAGAAGTCAGAAGCAAAGGCAGCCGCATGCAGTGCTGCCCTTGGGCTGGTGTGTGTTTGTGTCTAGGAGGGGCCCTTCTGTGACCTGCACTGACGTAACACCCAGACCAGCCTGGAGGAGGGCAGGGGATATTTGAACTGGCAGACACCAGGCTGATCACATAAAGCACGGACAACTATTGCCCAACAGGATGCACTGTGGCCAACTGGGAGCCCTGATAGGATCTCTGGGTCAGGGTTCCAGGGTGACCTGGTCTCCAGCAGCCACAGGCCCACGATGGGAGGTGAGCCAGCGCCCCCTAGTGTTCCATTGAAGCAATCATTAAAAGAACTTAAAGAGTTTTTATTTTTTTCAATTTCTGGGATTAAACCAAACTAAGGCCCACCGGGTGGCCCCATGGTGAGGCTGTCTTGATGTCAGTTAAGGCTTATGCTGTTGGGGCCCAGCTTAGCCCAGGAAGCCAGGCCTGGGGCCTCAGGATGACAGGCTGCTGGGGCTGGAAGGCCGCTCTCTCTTTTTGTGTTGGAACCCCAGAGCCCGAGCCACCAGCCTCCGGGCCACAGCTGTGTCTGTCTGTGGCCTCTCCTTTGCCAGGTGCAGGATTTCTGAAAGGAAGCCCCACCAGGTGGGGGGCTTGAGTCAGAGCTTGGCACAGAGCAGCCTAGAGGCTGTGCACGGGAGCCGACTGTTTCCCTGGTTGTGCAGAGGGAGCGGGGAGGGCCACTCCTCCCTGTCCTGTAGGGGCTTTGAGGGAAATCAAGTCAGGATGATACACCTGGGGCCCTGGACCTACAGACGGGACTGAACAGAGGCCTGCTCACCATCCATACAGCCCAGCTGGTCTGGCACACCTGCCTTGGCCTGTTTTGCAATCATGGAAAACTGACCTAGGAGTCCCCACTGTGCTTTCTGGAAGAACTCTGTAAAGGCGGGACTAACATTATTTCTCGTGCACTTGCCGGGTCCCCTCTCGGCCCCAGGCGGTCGGCATGCTCTCCTCCACACCTCTGCCTACCCTGGGTAATCTGACCTTACAGGGAAGGAAATACACTCACAGACTAAGTAGCTCATGCAGAGACAAGCATGGGGGCCTGCCCAGTAGCTCAGTTGTTTAAGTGCCTGCTTAAGCAAAGCAGTCAGGCTCAGGATGCTGTGATCCTCGTGCCTTACCAGACCTGCCCTTAAGGCATCCTGAGCCAGCCAAAACAAAACAAAAAACAACAACAAAGACAAGTGACAGAGCCAGGACCCACGAGGGCTGACCCCAAAGCCCAAGCACTTTCCACATCCTGTGAGGTGGGGCCTCCACAGCCCCCAGAAAGCAGGCCAGGCTCTACCTGGCCACGCCTGGAGGAGGAGCGAATGGAGGGCAATCCCGGGCAGCAGCTGCAGATACCACTCACCCTGAAACCCTCACAGAGGGAACACAGGCCCCTGGGGTTCCTAAAACACAGGGCATAGAAAGGGCAATACCCAGGAAGAGCCTGTGCAGCACAAGCCCGTATGTGCACCTGCACCCTTACTTGGCCTCTGCAGGGCTCTGAGCTTGGACTGTCTGGTTCCCTCCGTGAGTGGCCGGATCTTGAGAATGGAGAACTCCTTGGTCAGGGCTTGGGCAGCTGGGGGAGGCAAGCGGATCTGCATGTGAGCCTCCTGCTCGGCCACCCTGCCCACCCATCCCAGATTCAGTGGTCCGCTCTGCCATATTTCTGGCTGGTAAGACAATGGCCTCCATGCCCCTCATGCCCTGAGTCCCACAGACCTGCCTAGGGGAAGCCCTCCTGTCTCCCAGGTGATGCCCCAGGCTGCCAGTCAGGAGCCACCCAGAGCCCAGCTTACACCAAATTCCATCATATACCACCCAAGATGCCCTGGGCACCTGCACTCCCTGCCCTAGTCCCGCTCAGTCATGCAGCACCTGGCTGTTCATGGAGCAGTGTGACAGAGCTGGGAGGAGGTCAGGTCCTTGTCATCTGCTGCTTTACAAATGGGGAAACAGAGGCCAGGACATGACCTGCTCTTGCCACACTGTCAGGGCCAGGAGACAGCACCTCTAGCTAGAGCCTGCTCTTCCCATGGCAGCCAGAGCTCTCGGCCTTCCCTCCCTGCCTTCCTTCAAGGGGCTCCTTCTCTAGGGTTTTGAGCCCCCAAGGCCCCCAACCCCTCAGTCCCCTGACCATCCTGGTCTAAGGACCAGGCCACAGCGGTGTAGGAGACACCTCTTTCTGGTGTTCAGCAGGCTGACTATGTGGTTCAGCTATTTATAAAGACTCTCAAAGTGACCAGTGGGGTGGCAAGGGTGAGAGGAAAGCGGCTGAAGTGGGACAAGCTGGAGTCAGGGGCAGCTGGGTGGTAGCCCCAGCTTTGACACTCACAGGTTCACGCTGGCATTCTGGGAACGCAGCCTCTGTCTGTGAGACAAGGCACTGTCCCACCGTGAGGCCAACACGAAAACAGAATGAAGATGCCGCCACCTGAACCCTGCAGAACTGCCAGTGTGCAAGTGTGGGGCCCACAACACCAGTGTTTTCTGACAGTCTCATTCCAGATGTGGTAGGACCGAGGGCTTGACCCACAACAACAGAACTCAAAGGCCCTGCCCAAAAGACAACTAAACCCCAAACTGCAGCTCACACTGGCAGCCTGCTGGTCCAAGGGGCCTGCACCTGGAGATGGGTGGCAGTCCACCCAAGGAGCCTAGGGTCCCCAAAAATGCTGCTCAGAGACAGGGTGGAGCCTCAAAAAGCCACCTTACCTGAGGCCAGGCAGGGGAAGATGCCAAGGGCATGTGTGTCATCCACCCACTGGATCTTGAGCCCCTTCTCCCTGTGTGGGGAGAGGACCGAGGCGGTCACAATGCCAGTGCCAAACCCTTCTGTGGCTCTCACAGGCAACCTCCCTCCTACCTCAATCCTCAAACACCTCCACCCAAGCAAGGGCCCTCTATTCCAGGACAGAGGTAACCATTTGCTACCAGGTTTTTCTCCAGAGCACCTGGTCAGCTTCACAAAGACACATGTTACACTATAACAGGCCAGGTGGGCCCGGGTCCACACTGAAGGACTAGGGTGCAAAGGGCTCCTACGGCGCAAGGCCAGCCTGAAGGAAGCACCCTGCCAGCACTGCCCCACCCAGAGGGATGTGGGCTCCGAAGCTGAGGGTTGGGCTGGGGGGCAAACCGGGACTCTGTCTCAGCTTCCTTCCTCTGCATCCAGGAGAGGCCAACAGCAGCTCTGGGCATGCCCAGCTTCTCTGGTGACTCTGCCCACCTGGGCTAGTGGCCCAGGACTAAGAACAGAAAGACATACCATGCTCCCTTCAGCACAGGGAGCACAAAGGAAGATAGGACACAAAGCAGTCAGAAGGCTGTGTGCCTGTAATCCCAGCATGTGGGAGGCTGAGGCAGGAGGACTGCTCTGAGTTTCAGGGAAGTTGAATATAGTGAGACCATGTCTCGAAATAAACAAAGGCAATGAAAAAAAGTACAACAGTGGAGAAAGGCAAATGAAAATTAAGAGAGAGAAAGGCAGGAACTTGGATCCAGAGGAACTGGGGAAATCGGGCAGTCTTGCTCCTGAATAGCTCCCTGGCCTCCAGAGCTGCGTGAGCTGGACGCCCAGAAACAGCTCCCACACCAACATGGGCCTCCACACTCCACAGACCCGCTGGTCCCACGTCTACAACCCCAGCACAGCTCTCCTCTCCCAGCTTCAGCCAGCAGCCTCCCCTGCCCCCAACAGAGCCCGCCGCTCTTTCTGCATCATGAGGTACCAGCAAGGGGCAGGCGAGTGACCTAACAACCAAGGCTGTCCTCAGTGCTCTTCACAAGGCAGGCCCTGCTCCACCTCCACCCTGCGGCCAGCACTCACTGGAACTCTGCAAACGTTGCCAGCAGGTCCTCCGTCTTGAGCACTGGCTCAAAGTCATAGATCTCCACCACATGCGCCAGGTCCTTCTCCCCAGGCAACTCCTCCATGAAGTAGGATGCGTCCAGCTGGGCCTTCTTTATCTGAATGTCCTTCTCCGTCAGGTGCACAGTGATCTGGAGGGATCAGACCCCTTGGCAAGGCAAGCTCTGGCATGCAGGGCCCAGAACATCTGCTTTCAAAACCACTGAGGGTTCTACAGAGAGGGGACAGCCCAGCCCCCAGGAGCCCCCAGCAGCCCCAGACAGGGTAGGAAATCAGGATGCAGGGGTTCACGGGAGGGCCCTTAGTCTACGGGGTCACTAAAGACAGAGCTGGGAAGGCCAGGTTGGTTGCTTCATGTCACCCTATTAGTGAGGCAACATTAAGCAAGTCTGTCCAGCTCCATCCTTCAGGTACAAAAGAGCAAAAGCGCCCACCCTCCCAAGGGCACCCACAGCCGAAATTGAGCAAACCGCGGTTCCAAGGAAATGCAATTTGTAAATAAAAGCTCCAGGCAGAAGGGTGGTTTTCTGCAGTCTAGGCGAGCACCTGCCTCTGCACTCTGGATCATCTTACCACTGTCTTTTTCAGACGAAGAAAAAGACAGAGAAGAGCAAAGGACTCGCCCAAAGTCAACTAGCCCGCCTGAGCTGGGACCCACTCTACACCTCCTACTTCACAGGCCCTGAAGAGCCTTTCATCCAACACCCACACAGAGCCACAAGGCACACCCCCTCCCCACACTCCATCCACCTGTGGCCACACCCACCTCACTTCCGCCCTCCCTTTTCTGGGCTCGAGAGCCGCATCACCTCCTGCAACAGCTCACTGTAATCGTCCTCAGGGCAGCTGGCCTCTTCCTCCTCATCCTCCTTCTCTCTATCCACCAGACTCTGCTCCAGCTGACTCGAATCCTCCTCTTCCAGGGCTGGCTGCAAACTGGACCCTAGCTGTGTGGCTAGCTCCACCCCACCTTCCTTCCCTGAGGGACTCTCGGAGCCTGGGGGCTCAGCACCAGCTGGCTTTAGCCCTGGCTCATCTGAGGGACTCTCAGGGCCTGGGGGTACAGCACCAGCTGGCTCTAGCCCTGGCTCATTTGAGGGACTCTCAGGGCCTGGGGGTACAGCACCAGCTGCCTCTAGCCCATTCTCACAGCTCTGGCCTGGGCCCTTCAGGTCCTCAGTTTCCTGAGTCATCAACACAGGGAGTACTTGATCCGCAGTAGGGTCCCCAGCACTGGCGTCACTGGGCTCTTCCAAGACCCCACCAGCTGGGGCCTCTCCCTCGAGCTCCAGGGCAGAGGTCTCCATCCTATCTTCTTGCCTACGCAGCACCCGGGGCACATACAAAGGCTGGTCTGGCTTTCGTCCCCTGCGCCACCGGCCAGGACCTCGAGGACCAACGCCTGCTCCCTGGTTTGAGGTGGACCGAGGACCACGGTATTTGTCAGGGTGGGAGGCAGGTGGGCGGCAGGGGCCAGAAGGGCCATCTGAACTTGGTACCCTGGAGTAGAACAGAAGGTAGTGATCAAAGTGTGTCTGGCCCCACAGGAATATGGGGCTACCTGTCATGCAGGTGACACCGTCAGCATTAAGTACAAACAAAAGCCAAAGACCTTCAAAAATTCCTTAGGAAGGCATGCTGGTTGAGGCAGAATGCCACCTCTGACAAGTCCCAAAAACCAGCTTGCCTTTGGGTGCTAGAATGAAAGCAGAGAGCTCCCAGTATGTGTCCACAAACCCCACGGGGTAGACACGCTGTGCAACTCTTATTAGAAAAACACTGGGATGACAGCCACTGCAGTAAGTCACATGCATGTTCAGTGAGATTTGAGTGGAAAGAGATGACAGTGGGGCAGGCGCTCCCTGTGCTATCATCTCAGGACCACAGGTGACCAAAAATGTGGGCTGACCCATCCTCATCTGGCCTAACATGGACAGCAGAATTTGCCAGGCGAATTCCACAGCAGTGCATGTCTGCTGAAGCAAAGAGCAGCACTGACTTTACACAAGGGGGGTAGGCAAGCCCACAGCTTCCCTGCCCTGTTCCTGCCAAGCCCTGCCCTCCTGAGGGCTGGCCAACTGGCTCTACCACAAGAAGCCCAGTGCTGGGGCGCTCCCAGGCAACAGGAAACACACCTGATGTCCAGGTGGCAGATGACCGTCCTGCGTCTCCACCCCTCACCAACAGAGAAGCTGCTCAAGAGATCAAACTTCTCCGCTGTTCTATGGATCAGGTACCGCAGGCGACTGGACAATGGGGGGAAAAGCAGAACCCTGGAAAGGGATGGGGAGAAGTGCTGGGGGAAGAGTCGCTTCCACACAATCCCCCCAACCCCCCGGGGGCCCTGCCTCCTGCCAGATCCACGCCCAGGTTAACATGCGCCGGGCCCGTGAGTCCAGAGCAAAGTATCTGGGCATAAAGTCATCCCTGGAAGCTATGCTGAATTACAGAGGAAAGATGCGGCTGGACGAGACTGACGGTGCATGTTCTTACAGTGAACGGCCAAGGTCAGGGTCAGCTGCTAGCCAGTTACCCGGGCGCTGCACCTGGGGGAGGCGACAGATCCTATCCTTCCTCAATGAAGCGGCTCCCTCTCTCCCGCGTACTTTGACAGCTGCTTCTGCAGCAGGAAGCGGTCCAGCTCCTCCTGGACGCAGTGGACGAAGTCATTCTCGGTCGACGATAAGAAGACCCCGTCCAAGCAGAGAAGGGCCAGGGTGACCGGTGGGGGAGGCTGCGGGGGAGGTGGGCCGGGCTGCAGCTCAGAGCCCAGGTCCCGCCCGCGCCCGGCCCCAAGTGTCGGCGCCCACAGGGCCCTGCAGACTGGCCGAGCAGGAGGCCGACTCGGGTCCCGGGCGCTGAGGGGCAGGAGGGGTCGCCTGGGTCCCACCAGGGCCGCCTCCCGCGCTGCCCTCGTCGCCCCGGCCCTGAACCGCGTCGCCCACTCACCCTACCCGCCGGGAGTGGGAGACCAGGATGAGAAAATACCCCACAGCCCACGAAACTTACCGCAGTCTCCCTACGCGTCGCCGCCGCCGTCAGTATCCCCATGCGCCTGCGCCCTCCCGCGAGCCCCCGAAGTCCCCGGCCCTGGCGGAGCCTCAGCGCCACCGTGCGGCTTGGGGGAGGTAACGCAGGATCGGCGAGGGGTGGGCTCTTTGACGTAACCGGGCCGGGGGCGGAGCCTAAGGCAGGCCGAGCGGAGAGGGGCGTGGTTAGGCGTGGCCTTGCGGGGGCGGAGTGTATACAAACACGACCAACTGCTCCCACCCGGAATGGGCTAGGGATTACATTCCCGGGAAAATCAGAAAGATAAAATGGCTTATCCAGAGTTAGCATGGTAGTCAATTCTAGAGTCTTTCTCTAAGTAAAGGTGGACCTTACTGCAAACTCCACTCTAATTTTTTCCCCAGGTGGAGGCAGAACTAGATTTTCCTAAGTTTCCCCTCCTCGGGAACCTAAAGGAGTAAAGAGGAAGGGAGTTTCTAGGCACTAGGTGTTCTGGCACTCTGGGCCTTCCTAGGACAAGCCACCGGCCAGGGGTGCTCATGTGGGCAGCTGGATGGGCAGTCGCTAGCACAGTGATTTGCAGGTGAACACACACTTACTACACTTTTCCCTCGTGAATCATTCCAGCACCCACCTGCATGGGGCTTAAAAGTGCTTGCTCTCAGCCAGCTGCTAAGATGGGCTGCTATAACCTAGGAGACCAGGGCTAGAATCCTGCTGTTCCCCGAAAAGCATTAAAATATAAGCCCTTGGTCACCTGAATCCAGAAGCCCAGGGCAGTGCATGGCAAAACAGGGCCTTGGGCAGACATCACCTAAGACCCAAGATTAGGTCCAGTCTGAGCGGGCCCCGCCTTGGGGTGTGAGCACCATGCGGAGGCAGAGCTGTCCCTCAGAGAAGGAGCAATGGAGAAAACTGAGATTTTGCTCTCTCAAACTTCCCCTGTCCCAAGTCTTTCTAAGAGACAAGGAAGGACATGATGCCATGTGTACCGGAGCCATCTTCCTCATGGTCGTATAAGAACAGACCTACGCTAGAGACAGCATGCACATGGAGAAGCCAGGTGCAGTAGCACATGCCTGTCATTCCAGCTGCTGTTCTTGGACAGCTGAGGCAGGAGGATCAGAGTTGGAGCCCAGCCTTGGCAACTTAATGAGACCCTGTCACAAAAGACAGCTCAGTGATACAGCACCCTTGGCTCTGATCCCCAGTAGTTTTTTAAAAATAAACCTCCCCGTGGAGAAACAAACTCCAAATCCGAAAGCACACCCCCTTCTCAGAGCTAGCCCAAGACTGTGTTCAGCAAATTCATAGTTTTAGTAGAAACAAAACTCTCAGAGGAGAGCTCCTCATGAACCCCGCTTCCTCCACACCCTGTGCATGAATCCTAGAGGCTGAGCAGGTAGAAGCGTCTGCACTCAGCCTCCTCTGGGGGGTGGGGCTCATCTAGGGCCAGCTAGGAACCAGTCATGGGAACCGCAGTGGTCTCCACACATGATTGGGAAGCAAACAGCAGGCGAAAGTAGACCGATGCCCACTCATTCAGAGGTGAGTCAGCATCACAAAGAGCAGCGGAAGATTAGTGCAATTTCTACAGCAAAGAAACGCTTAACAAGAAATTGATAGGGGATAAGGGCATCACGGATGAGTATGTTAAGAACACAAAAGAAAATGTTAGTGAATAGCTGTCTCATTCTCCAGGAAGCCTAAGAAAGCTTGACTTCTGTGTTCAATGATAAAGACACTTCAACGTGGGTGACGGCTACCAGGGCCACTGGATGATGTGAGAGAGACCCCAGGGGCACCAACAACTGCAGTCGGAAATGTGACAACAAATCAGCAGCTTGGCATAAAACAGAGACCTGCTGCTTCCGTGGCGCTTGCCAAACAGCCCTTGCAGGGGCAGTGGTTGTGTGTAGTGCAGACAGGAGCATGTGCCGACCTTTAGCCAGGGCCGCCTAGCTAAGGGGGGCAGAGTTCACCCTTGAAAGCCAGATCTAGCCTGGCTGCCAAGTACCTGCTTTAAGACACCCTAAGACTAAGACTTTCCATCCTTAGGATGTCCTTAGAGGTGTCTTAATGCTGTGGCTTATGGCCAGAGACAGAAGCTAGGAATGCGTACAGTAGTGTGAGCAGCTAAGTGTGCGCCAGGGAATGTTCCCAGAATGGGAGGCATGGGGGATATAGTACAAAACAGAAAAACCTAAAACCCCCACCAAAGCTTTTTTATTCTAGGCAAAGGGCCAGAAATGAGTGAATGCGGCAGCCTAGCAAGACAGAGAACTTCGTGACAGTGGCAGCCAAACACCATCGCCCCTCACAGGAGAAAGGCCCCAGGGAGCACGGATTGTCTCCCTGCCCACAGCTGCCAAGCACCGGGAACTTTCCACCAGGATGCAGTCAGAGAAGCCAGAAAGGGAGCTGGGAGAGTCAGCCACTCTTTGCAGTGTCATTAGAGATCCCGACACACCTGCACTTCTGCCACTACCCAATACCAGCAAGATACCCCAACCCTTGCCCCTGCGGTGGTTTAAGAAGAGGCCTGGGGACAGAAGGACTTTCTCCTTTGATCAAGAAGCCACAGAGGAGAGGCAGCAAGGCATATGCAGCCCATGGCGAGGAGGGTCTGCGGCCTCCTTAGGAAACCACAGCATGTCAGAGGAAGCCCCACAAGCAGTGCGCAAGGAAGATAACATCAACCAAACCCAACGAAACTGGAAACAAAGGCGGTAGAAAAATTAGTAAAACGGAAGGCTGTCTCTGAAAAGACCAAGGCCCGCAAACCACGACCAACCCTGATGTAGTGAGAAAAAGAGCCAGAGGAAGAAGACTGGCGTTAGCAACAGAAGGCACGAAGCAGAACCTTGGCCAGAGCCTGGTGTCACCTAAAGGCTAATAAGGACCTACCACAAGCAACTTAATCAGGGACAGGTGAAAACGCAGGAGAAATTCAGGCCTAAAATGCCACTTAGACCATTCCCTTTATGTAAAGGTCCTGAACGCACAAAATTTTGAAGTGGAAAGTAGATTAGTGGATGCAAAGGCTGAGAACCAGAGGGAAGGAGTGGGCAAGGGAGGGGAGAAGCGCACGACACAAGGGCTGAAGTGCATGTCCGTGTGCTCTGTGTGTGTGGGTGTGCGCTGGGGATAGCCCCAGGACCGTTGCACTGAGCTGTGTCCTCAGCCTGGCTTTTGGTTTTTCTGTTTTCGGCTTGGAGGCATGTTCTCACTAAGCCACTCAACTGCCCAGTCTGGGCTCCACGTTGCAAAACACCCCGCATTCAGCTCCAAGAAAGCCGGAGCCAGGGGTGGTGGCCACACCTAGAATCCCAGCACTCCCGACGCTCCGGCAGGGGAATCAATATGAGTTTGAGACCAGCCTGGGCTACAAGTGAGCTCAAGTCTAGCCTGAGCTGTATGGTGGGACCCTGTCTCCAAAAGACAAGATAAATAAGTAAATAAGTAAAGGAAGCAGGGAACAAATATTAATTGAAATTAGTTTTATCTTAAATTTATCAGTAGCTCTCATTTCATATAAAATATATTAGATATATAAATGATATTTATAAATTAAACTTACGAATGCTACATATTTAAATTTGTTATTTTTGTAAACTAATATAATTCAAAATCTAAGTAACTATGAGAGGCCTTTTGTGAAAAAAAAAAAAAAAAAAAACATATTTAAATTTGTTATTTTTGTAAACTAATATAATTCAAAATCTAAGTAACTATGAGAGGCCTTTTGTGAAAAAAAAAAAAAAAAAAAGCTACTCTCAGACATGCAAAAGTCCCTAGAACACTACATGAAAGTCAAAGAAAAAGCCAGGCATAGTGGCACCACCTGTAAACCAACACTTGTGAGGCTGAGGCAGGAGGGTCACTGTGACTCCTCGGAGAGTTTTAGGCCAACCTGAACTACTACGTGGGGAGACACCATCTCAAGAAACCAAATAAGACAAAAAGAGTAAAGCAATTAAAGCAAAATATGAATACACAGTTCAGCCCTGGAGAGCCACAAAAGATTAATTAACATACCTGAGAAAGGAAAAAAAATTACTTGAACAGTTGTGAAAACTAAAAAGTAACACTATTTCCTTGAACAAGAAAATGTGAATTTTGGCACCCGAGAAGGGTCCACCCCAGCTCTAGCCAGCCAGCGGCGCGCAAGGCTCTGGGGACAGGAGATATGGCTCGCGAGCTTCGGGCGCTGCTGCTGTGGGGCCGCGGTCTTTGGCTTCCACTGCGACCTCCGTTTCTGGCGGCCGCCTCAGGAGGAAAACCAATTCTGTGTCCTCAGAGGTCCACAGTCCAGCTCAGGAGCCACTGGCAGCAGCTGGCTTCTAGCTTCTATGCAAAACAGCCATACAGCACGCAGGCTGCGGAGGACAAGAAGGAGGAGCCCCTGCACTCCATCATAAGCAGCACAGAGGCGGTGCAGGGTTCTATCTCCAAACATGAGTTCCAGGCAGAGACAAAGAAGCTGTTGGACATTGTGGCCTGTTCCTTATACTCAGAAAAAGAGGTATTTATACGGGAGCTCATCTCCAATGCTAGTGATGCCCTGGAGAAACTGCGCCATAAACTGGTGTCTGATGGCCAAACATTGCCAGAAAGGGAGATTCACCTGAAGACTGATACTGAAAAAGGAACCATCACAATCCAGGATACTGGCATCGGAATGACACAGGAGGAGCTTGTATCTAACCTAGGCACGATCGCCAGGTCAGGGTCAAAGGCCTTTCTGGAAGCTCTACAGGACCAGGCGGAAGCCAGCAGCAAGATCATTGGCCAGTTTGGAGTGGGCTTCTATTCAGCCTTCATGGTGGCTGACAGAGTGGAAGTCTATTCCTGCTCTGCAGCTCCAGGGAGCCCAGGCTACCAGTGGCTTTCAGATGGCTCTGGAGTGTTTGAAATCGCTGAAGCTTCAGGCGTTAGAACTGGGACCAAAATTATCATCCACCTCAAGTCAGACTGCAAAGAGTTTGCCAGCAAGGCCCGGGTTCGAGATGTGGTGACAAAATATAGTAACTTCGTCAGCTTCCCCCTGTACCTCAATGGAAGAC